GCTCGGGCTCACGGCGACGGTGGCCAGGTGCGACGGGACCCGTCCGGGGAGGGGCTCCTTCCTTCCATTTGGCGCCGAGTCCCCCTTTCCGCTCCCCCTATCCCGACTCCTCCCAACGCCGGCGTCCCTCTCCAGCCCCGCCTCCCCCATGCGCGCGACCTCCTAACCAACCGCAGGCACCTTTTCCCACCCGGATCCCGCCCTCCAGGTCTTTCCTTCCGGACGAGCAGTGCCAGGGGCGTTCTCCGCAGCTCCTCTTGCAGTCGGCCTTGGCCCACATGCATTACCTCCCCGAGGAGCCCGGGGCTGCGGGTAGGGCCAGCGCGTACCCCCAGATGGCGCGGCTGTTGCAGTACCGAGCGGTGAGGGTCGAGACCTCGGCGGGGCTGCTTGGGTGTGAAGCCAGCTCTGCAGCCGTCTGGTCTTGGAAAGGGCCTGGGACAAATAGGCCCCGGGCTGGCTATGTTGGCAGCCCGGGAATAACTGGGTTGGAGGGTTCCTGCCCTGGTCAGCAGCCTTGGGGACCTCTTGGTCCTGGTCAACCTCAGCAACCCTTTCTCCCCTTCACCCCTTTCTTCCTCAGGTCTCCCTCCTGGAAGAGCTCCTGTCCCCTCTTCTCACCCCGTTGTTTCTGCTCTTTTGGTTTCGACCTCGCGCCCTGGAGATTATTGACTTTTTTCATCATTTCACTGTGGATGTGGCCGGGGTTGGTGACATCTGTTCCTTTGCCCTTATGGACGTGAAGCGCCACGGCCACCCTCAGGTTAGAGTCCTTCCCTGGATGTGCGGGGTAGTGGTTAGGTAGGGGTTTGCCCCCTAGCTTCATCGCTTGCCACCTGTGACCTTGAGCCATTTACTTCACTTCCCTGGGCCTAGTGTCCTTGAGGACAGTGAGTGTCCTGAGGATTACACATGTGATGTGTGTATAATCCTAGCGCCAGTAAATGGAGTGAAGGCCAGCAGAGAGGCGGAGAAATGGGCTGGCCAGTGGGTGGCGCTGGAGTGAGACTGGCCCTCCCCACCAAGGCCTTAGGGCTAGCCCTATGGTCTGGTGTGCACAGATTGACAAAACACTGAGTCCTCGCAGCTTCCTGTGCTGGGCCTGGACCCAGGTCCTGCTCTGCTGCTGTGTTTTTGTGACCTTGAGCAAGTGTCCACTGTGGCCTGTGTTCTTTCACCTGAGGACTGGGGCTGGTGTTTCCTGTCCCGCCTACCCCACGAGGCTCCCACTGCAGCTATAAGAGCAATGTCCATGGCTTTTTTCTCTCAGTGGCTCTCGGCGGGACAGACAGAGGCCTCGCAGTCTCAGCGCGCAGAGGACGGAAAGACTGAGCTCTCCCTGATGAGGTTCTCCCTGGTGCACCCACAATGGCGCCCCCCAGGGCACAGCTCCAAGTTCCTGGGGCAACTTCGAGGCCGGGTACAACAGGATGCAGCCGCGTTGGGCGCCACTTCGGTTCGCAGTCCGGTCACCCCCGGGGTGCTCAGCGACTCCTCCTCACCTCTGGTGAGCCAAGCCTGGCCTGCCCTCTGGCCTCACCTCCAGCCCCGCTCACCTGCCCTTCCTCTGCCTCACTTTTTGTATTCACCTGCTCACTCACTGGTCCAGCCTGCTCTCCAGCCTTGCTGAGACCTCCTCCCTCCACTTCTGTCCTCTCTTCTGACCCGTCTTCTCTTGCTCACAGCCTGAGGCCTTCCTGGCTAACCTCTTGGTGCACCCCCTGCTGCCCCCACGGGACCTGAGCCCCACAGCCCCCAGCCCAGCTGCAGCCACTGCCAGCCTCCTGGCCTCCATTTCCCGAATTGCCCAGGACCCCAGGTGAGGGGTGGGGGCCCGAGGTGCAGGGAAGGAGGGGTGGTGGGACTGAGCGTCCAGGAGGAGGGTGCAGGGTGCGGGGGCACGGGGGTGGGTGGTGGTGGCAGTGGTTGGGGGG